CAACCGGCGATAAGAGATATCAAACCAAATCCAAAACCAATCAAACTGATAAAAGCAGAACAAGTGCACGTGCAGAGGCCTCAGGTAGATGCGCAGGAAACGGAAAATGGATGGGAGAGCTGGGTGGGGTAGGGAGGCGGCGGACGATAGGATGGGTTAGAGTAGGTATTGGGAAGAGAGTGCTCGAAGCTCGAACTGCCCTGAGTTCCCATCGCGCGACGCAGCCATCTTGCCTGCACATCGTAGGGGGTCTTTGCCTGCAAAAAGTAAACATCCGCGATCGCAACCTGTGTGAGTGTGGGCGGGCGGGGGTGGGTAGGGAGAGGGGGCGATAAATTCGCGGAGCTTACACGCAACACTTTACATTGAAATCGGACACGTCAGCGACCACTCACCTGCTGATATAATGTTCCTTGTTGCCTTGTCATGACCTACCAAACCATTATTCTACTGGTGAATAAATAAAAAATAGGTAAATAAAAATTTGAATTTCTTTAAAAAAAGAAATTAAACTGAAAAAATATGTTAAAAAAAAATTAAAAATCTGATTAAATAGTTGAGCTACTTGTATTTGAAAAATTAAAGAAAAAAAAAATATGATTGACAATTGAGGGGCTTGGAGGACAAGGCACAGAAGTGCAGTTTTAGCTATTTCGAGAAATACGTGTAGGAAGTTTCGAAATTACACGGATCCTCATGGCAGGAAGAGAGTTCAAATTGACTTTTGGATGCTTAAAAAATTGAATTTGGGAGCGAATTTTTCTCTGAACACGCATAAAGACTAGTTTTACTTGAAATCGTTAATGTCCAAATTTTTTCAAAAACTGCACATGCGCGCCTTGTCCTCCAAGCCCCTCGAGTCAAACCATATGAGGCCTCCTCATGGATGAAAATGTTCCCAAGTAGCTTTTTCAATGGGTAAATCGCGATTTTTGAAATTAAGTTGCGATTTTTTTTACGATTTTTGTGCAATAAAATCGCCAGGATCATCAACATCGAGCGATTATCTTCTATCTCGTCGCAATTTTATTTTTTATAAAATCGCATTCGATAAAATCGGAATTTTTTCTCAATTTATCACGATTTTTTGTTCGATAATACTGCAATGAATCGCTATCGATAAATATGCGACGACTGTTTGCGAAGACTGTTTTACGTAAAATGATTAATGTCTCAATTTTTCCAAAAACTGCCCTTATATCCGCCTTGTCGCATCCATGCAACGTTCTAAGTTTTTCATCCATCCCTTTCTTACCCATTTCTTCCATCTCTCTCTTAAATTCTCAGTCTTCCACTTTTCGAGCCTCACTCCGATTTTTACATCCTATCAGTAGATTCATCTAATTCATCTAATAATTAATCTAATCTTTGTCACGGCAGGCTGATGCAATGTGAACCGTTATTTGCTCATGCTCTTCCACGCCTCGTAAGGGCTGGAGAGATTTCTGTACCTTACTTCGATTCCTACCATCCTAGCGTAAGCCTCGTGCTAACTTTCGCTCAATCAAAGTCATAAGTCAAATCGTATTGTTAGTAGTTCTGAATAAAGCATCCGGTTTTCTATCCAACGAAATTCGACTCATTTATTTATGCAATTCTGCTCTCCCACAATTTAATAATTTTTCGTGCGTGTTAAGTTGGTCTCTTAAACGTTTCGGTCCGTTTAACACCCAGTACCAACCCTTAACGCGACACGCCTTCTGCTCCAAGCCCCTCAATTCAGGGTGAGGGTAATGCCTATAGATCTAAAGGAGTATTGAAGGTACTTCTCTAGCTTTAAACCGGGTCAGGAGAATTTTCGAAGTTTCGAGGGAAATTTTGAAAGAGTCGTCTCAGGGTCAGGATTTGAGTTAACTTTACCTAAAAACTGATCGGAATATAATTATAAGCATAAAAAAATAAAAAGAACTCTGCTAATTTTATATTATCCCTTATTTTTTGGATCTGGAAAGGCCAAGTAGATTTTTTTTTTTTTTTGGGGGGGGGGGAGGGCAGCCGTCCTTAAGTCCATATCGACGGTGAAACTACCAAACCACGTATCTCGGTTGCGGTGTTTAAAAATCTACGCTCACATTTTATTTTTTTAAAGTAGACCAAATCAATATCATTCCTTGAAATTTTCACAGAATTTTCTCTGCACGAAGAGGAAAAATCACAGAAATTCTCAAGACTGGACGTTCAGTAGTTATTCATTTAAAAAATAAAGTATGACGGGAAGTCTGCGACGTCGCAAACCGAGATACGTGGTTTGGTAGTTTCACCGTCGATATGTGCCTACTCATGAAAGAGCAGGCACCAGGATGGGATTGTTATCTAGTCCTAAAACTCTTTAAAAATGAAGTTTCAACGTCGCAATAAAAAACGTGCTCACCTAGCAGAACAGACTGATAAGAGCTGCCGCTCTGATAAGAGCTGATGACTCAGCATGCAAGCGATTCACCATTGATCAATGAAGGTAATGAAAATACACGACTAATGCAATAAATTGGGGGTCATGTGCACTTTCTTATTTTGCCTTCAATTTTTGGAGTAGGCCACAAAAGCTGCGTCGCTACGTCTAGCAATAATTGTTTGTGCAAGGGATATCGATTACCAAAGTGCAAAACCACGTATCTCCTTTACGGCGTTTCACAATTTCTGCTTTGAATTTAATTTTTAAAACAGGAACAATTCAGCTTCACAGCTTGAAATTTACACAGTAATATAGGAGAATAATCGTGGAAGTTTTCAAGAAAGCACGTTGACTACTTTTTCAGAGAAAAAATAAAGTATGACAGGAAGTCTGTGACGACGCGACGCAAACGGAGATAGGTGGTTTCGTACTTCGGCAATCGATATGCATCTTGCGTTGTTTGAAAATATCTTACCCTTGCCACATAGTAAATTAATTTTTACGAGGAAGATTTTTAGGTAAGCTCTGTTTTTTTTCTATCCAAGTTTATTGACCGTAAATATTGCATAATTTGAGGAACTGGTTCACTCAAAAAGCTCTTAAACACAGTGGTCATGAAGCAAAAAAAGATGCGACAAAAATGTATCCAACAACGGTTTACAGGGGGTGAATCCATGGTACGCGTGGACTTAAAATCGCGAAAAATCAAAATCTTGGCTGATCCTAACTTCGAGATATCGCGATTTGAAATTGTTGTGATAAATGCAAGTTTTCCCCTGATTTTGATCAGCTTTTTTTATTTATTTGTCCATTGAATCAGTGTTGATCTGCTCACGTTTTTATTTATCGTTCGATTATCATGTCGATAGAATACATACCCTCTCGTTACATGCAGACTACCTAGCATACTCTTATTTTTTAACTGAGCATTTCGCCTTCAGTTGCGTCTGCAGCAATTTTTGTTACCAATGTGATGTGCGTACTGATTTCTGCTCATTACATACTCGACTCTCTGAAGGCGTTTTATGTGCGCAAGCAGCGTAACCTGTCGGAGAACGAATTCAATCTCACTTCTGTTGTTCTCCAACAGGGTGCTCTACTTTCGCACATTAAACGCCTTCAGAGAGTCGAGTATGTAATAAGCCGAGATCAGTGTGCACAACATATTCGTGACAACAATGGACCACTAGACAAGGTACGAATTTCAGCATTCTGATACATGTTTCTTTACCAAAATTTCACGTAAAATACGATGCGCACAACGAATATTACCAGATTCAACTCCTTACAAAGATATTTAATGATTCTTGGTGCGTGAATTCAAACCACCCGCTCATGAAAACTCAATGCTCTACTTGATTCACATCGCTCGTAAACGTTATCATGAACGTCTCTGCGATAAAAAAATCTGGCAACCTCGATCTTGACACTTAGGCTCAGCTATAGCAAATTACTTATAGTTTGAAAAAAACATGGTAGGAAATGAAAATTGCTCGATAGAGAAGATTGCTGAAACCGTTGTAGTGCGCGATTTGACTCATGTAGAGCTTTGAGTTTCTTGTGAGCGGGCAGTTCAAATTCCTCGAAACCAATGTAAAATAAAAATGTTAATAGCTTCGTTAGGAGTTGGTTTCAGTAATTTTCGTTGCAGGAATCGTGTTCTACGTGAAATTCTGGTTAAGATACATGTATCAGAATGCTTAAATTCGTACCTTGTCTAGTGGTCCATTGCTGCGGACGCAGTTGAAGGCGAATTGGAAACATCCGTATAATACACGTTGAAGAACATGTTAGCTCTGCAATGGATATTGTTACCAATAGAGAGTTGTACTTAATGGTCTTTTTATGGAAGATTCTCGAAAAACTTTTCAACATAAAACTAAGTTTAAATGCAAAATATAATATACTGCAATACAAATTTTCCGTCTCGGCGGGAAGTTTGGAATTGGCCATGATTTTTAATTTTCGCGATTTCAAATCCACACTTATCATAGACTCACCCCCTGCAAAAAATTTTTGTCGCATCTTTTTTTGCTTCAAAACCACAGTGTAAAGGAAGCAGTGCTTTCGGGATTTACTATCGTAAATATGCAGAAAATCCCATTGTATTTTTCTCTTTCTAAGACTCGATCAATGAATGATATGTATGTGCGTGAAACGCTGAAAAAACCAATCGTATGCTTGTTGCGCTTACTTTAAGGGTTACCTTATTTCATGATATAGAGGAGAGGTAATTTATACCTTTCTACTGAGATAAAAGAGATTGAAAACCAGAAATTCAGTAATTGAATTTATTCAGCGATAACATATTTTATGCATAATATTTACATATAAAATACGCGACGCTCAAACGTCAAATAAAATCCAGCTGAAAAAATGATCAAGTAATAGAATGGTGAAACTAATACAAAAAGATAGATACATTTAAATTACAAATTTACAAGTACAAAATCTAAGGTTTTCCAAAAGTTTTGGAGGGATATGAAGATATTAACATTAATTTGTTCCACGCTTTAGCTTAGAAAATTAACATTTGGTAACTTTCACTGGAAGAAGGAGTCAGCTTAGGAGCTTTTGATTTACCTAGGTTTTTTGTAACGAAGTTTCATTTTGCTAAACAATTTTAAGCTCAAATCTTAATTAGAGTAAACGATGACATTCTCATTTAAAATATTTTACTGCAAATCATGTTTACTAATAATTACAAACTACATCATATGAATGATCCAAAACTTTATCAATTTTTTTTTGAATTGGAAAGATTTTCTAAAATTATTTTTTATTTAATTTGTACTCAGAAATGAACCGAGCGTAGGAGAAATAAACTTTGTGAAGAGAGATGAACCATTGCTCTAAAATAACCTCTGGAATAGTGTAAGTGTAGCAGTTGTAAGATCTGAAATGTTCGAAAGATCTGTCTCAACTTGCACAATGCGCAATCGAAGAAAGTTCAAAAATAAGTCTGCTGACAAAGTTGAATTATTTCCTTAAATGAAATTCCTTGAAAAAGTAATTTCAAGAAGCCTTCAAATGTGAGAGGATATCCGAGGGACCTAAATACAAATTTGAGTTTGAATAAATATTTGGGTAGGGCAATCATGAATACACATGACACCCACATCAGAAAATTGGAAATTGACGTTGCATGATTTTTGTTACGAGTAAAATGTGATCTTTAAAAATTAACGCGAGGTTCACGTCGAGCGGGCATGTAAAGAAGTGTCAATTTAGTATATCTAGCTTCAAATCATGTTCCATGTCTATACTTTACACTGATTTTTCATTTTCAAAAGAGGAAAAATACGCAGAATAATCGACAAGTCTTCGGGCGAGGCTTCAGTGTAGGCTCATGTTTTGAATTATGAGTGATAAAAAGTAGAAAGATAGGCCAAGAGTGCTGTAACATTCGAGTCTTGAACAACCTGAAACAGAAAGAGCGGAACAGCGAATAAGATGATTATTTTAATGAGCATGACAAAAAGTACCTCGTTAATTAAGGGAATAATCAGTAGCCGTGTCCCTGTGAACACGAGAGTAACAATAACAGAGAGGTGGAATTTAAACAATCGCCTTCAAACCTGGGTAATACAACACGCAGTACCATTGATCGACCTATAAGCCACAAACTGAAATCGTATCTCAAGAGCTAACTTAATTTAACATTCATGCCTGCAATGATGCGCCTTCAAAAATGCGCGTGACAATGCTGTCGTGATAGCGAAGAGAGCGTAAGTTCATTTCTATATGAGCCTTGGTTAGCACATGCTTTTATGGGTCTCGAGGCTCATCCCAGCATGCACTTACTACTCTCTTCGCTATCACGGCAGAATGTACAAATCATGTTGCCAGAAACAGCTGCGCAAGAGAGATAACGGACGTGATGGAATGACAACCAGTGGGGTTTGAAAAAGAAATTCAATCTGCCGGGTGTATATATATCTTACGAAAGGGAACGAATACATTCTGCGTTTGCTTTATTTATGCATGGAATCAAAATCAAGACCATAAAACTACTTGAAAGGGCAAGTTAACCGTACAATACATATGATCTCATCGAGATCACTGACTACTGATATAAATTTTCACGATGTATTGGGTTTCAGTGAGTCGTAATTCTTATCCTATCCACTAATGCGTTTTAAGTTTCCTGCACTGAGAAAAAGCTATGGCTTACAAACCAATTAGTGGTTCATACGGAACACCACTAATAGTAGTAAAGGCAACATTTAATAATCGCACATGTACCTTACTATGGTGCCAGATACCTTACTATGGTTCACAGATCGAGAATCATTAGGTCATTTACGACTATTATTGGTGTTCCATATGAACCACTAATTGGTTTAAAAATCCATAGATTTTTCTCCGTGTGTACCAAAAAAACTCGACCAATAACCAGTAAGAGTGAGTCAAGGGAAAGATTTTAACCTAAGAATGAACCGCGTTCAAAATGAAACGCGAAAATGCAGACTATCAAAGTCATAAGTGACAGAGATTTGGGTCGTATGTTCTGAGATTAGAGGCTCCCTTCCAAAAATAACTAACTGTCATCCTGAACTACTGGGAAAGAGGCGAAGATGTTTACTTTAAATTAAGCAGGGAAACTTTTAATTGCAACGCGTAGGAAACTTCCCCGTTCAAAAGAGCCTCCTGTCGAGTTAAACTAGAATCCATAATTAAGCTCATTATTTCTTCCTCCTTTTGGTGCGTGGTGCAGCCAAGGAAATAAACCGCCGCCGCTCCATATTAATATTTAGCATGTACTCCTTGCTTTTATCATTCTTTGCCATATTGAAAAGTGTTGGTAACGAATCCAGGAGGGGGGCATGCGCATGCCCCCCTCGGGCCAAAAAAAGGGGGAAAGAAGGTGAAAAGGAGAAGAGGAAGCGAGAGAGAGAGGGAGAGAAAAAAAGTGTTCCTAAAAATTCACTGAAATGGTGTCAAGACAGAAATTCAGAAGTACTTAACCAAGTTTACTAAACCAAAGGTCACTCAATCCCGCAGAAATAAATAGGCTATATATCAAAATAAAATTCCTCTAAAAGAGATATTATTCGTCGATTTTTAACTTTCAAATAATGCACAAATTGTATGCTAAAACTGCATAAAATTCAATCTGGGAAGGGCAATACAATTTGTTGAACATTTTCCAGGAAGACCCCTGGACTCCCCGTTGCTCCAGGGAGAAGACCCCTTTGGACCCCCCTTGCTCTAGGGGGTATTCCCCCAGATCCCCCGCACTCAACATCAGCAAATCCCCTCTCCCTCCGATTCACTCTGGATCCACCAATGAAAAGTGTGGGTAGTTTTCTACGGGCTTGCCGGGTTACCACACATTAGATTGGAAGGATGAGCTCACTGCCCGACAGGTTAAATTACTCGTACTAGTCCTTCAATGAAATTTTTGGGCAGATTTTCTATGTTTACGTACTTGGTCTTGGAAAGAGATAGAGAGATGCTAGCTTCCGAAAAATCTCTACCATGACAGATTCCCAGGCAGTTAGGCGTTGCAAATCGCCCTAGTGCGCTGTAAAAGCTGTAAAATTTGATAAAAACCACCGCAAGAGGATAAGTGCTGCACTAGCAAACCGTGCCGCGACTCTCTTTGGTAAAAATCAGAGAAGTGAGGAATAAAATCAACCCCTCGATTTCAGCATCACTTCGAGAGCCGACATTATCAGTCATAGATTCCAATGATGGCGAGACCGTTGCAAAAATCGCCTCGCCTCGAATAGGGGCTTTGCTTCTAATCAGAACCATCAACCTCCCTCCCCTCCTTCTCCCCTCCTCCTCCCCTCCTCCTCCCCCTTACGCGACGCCTCGCCGCCATTTCACAGCGAATTTCATTTGGAAATGCCTTAGATTCTCATCGGGGGATAATAAGCTCAATACTTATATATATAACTTTTTTCCAGTCAGCTTTGCGAGGCGAGGAGGGCGGGGTGCTTTCACGTACGCGGGACTGAAAGGCAATTTGGCCGAGGGCCGGGGGGTCAAAGGGTCGTCGGATCGCGCGGGAGGGGAGGGGGCAAATTTCAATAAACCGCGCTTGCTCCTTAAGAGTTAACGATTTATTTATTCGAAATCAAAACATTCAAATTGAACAGAGGAGCGGAGGAAACCGTCTGAGCCGGGGAGCAGGTTAGCAGGAACCCGGAGAAATTACATTCCTCAATTTGAAGTCTCAAAGCGACTTAAATTTCTTTCGCCTCCCCCTGTAGATTCCCCCTCCGGCTTTGACGAGGAGCATTGTTGCCGGCTTGTGCGAAGCGGGTGTTTCGATGGTCAAATGTCGTAAAACACGAGCCTCGATCGCGATTTCTAAAATTAACGCTGCTCTTTTGTTATTTTGCCGGAGAAAATTTGGCAAGAGTTCAGCTGAAAGAACTAAGTTTTTTGTTTGGTTTTAAAAACAAGGGTTGTGCTTCCTAGTTTCTGCGAAAGGCGCTTGAGGCATCAATACGCAGGTCGTTCTTTTCCCTGAAATGCTTCCACTGATAGAAAACCCGAGAGGAAATCAAATAAAGGATTATTTTATTCTGGATCATTGATTATGTCTTTTTGTATTCAAGAGAGGATGCTTCAGTTGTAAAAAAACCCCAAAAAGATAATTATTTTTACAGGCAATTAGACTTTATTCTTAGTCGAAAATAAATAAATAAAGCTTATCCGAAACAAAATTATGAAAAAAATTAATCGTGAGCAATGGAAGGAAATTTCTAGGAGGAACAAAGCTTTTGTTTTCCAAATAAAATTGGTTCCTCTTTGATTACCTCGATCCAACTGCTAACCCTTTTTATATGTATTTGAACTTTTCATAGAATATTCATCATAGGGTGTTCAAAAATAAGCACACGCGATTACCAAGAAAATTACTTCGTCGGTTCGGAAAATTAAATTTATTAAGAAATCTGCAACGTTGCCAATCGAAATCCGTTTTTTGCGACTTTCAACATCTGTTCGCATGTTTTCAAACGCTTGACTGTCACCAGCCCCTTTAAAAAGTCCCCATGGGAATTAATGAGAGACCCCTAGACAACCGGATCGTATAGGAACATCTGTGACGGAGAAAAGGGGAAAGAAGAGATATATCTCCTTGAAGGGTGGATTCAGGTCGATTCTTCTCCTTCTGAAGTCCGTCCGTACTCTGTGCTTCGCTGACAATGATTTTCGTTTAGATAGAGGAGAATTGAGGCGTTGGGTGCAAAAAGGGCATTTCTTGTTTGCGGTGTCTCAGAATCTCTGGTGCTAATTCTTATTTGGACGTATTTCTGCCAAACGGAACTATGTGCATCAAGAAATGAGGCCTGAGGCCCATTAGAATACACGCATAACAGGGCTCACGTCATAATGCACATAGTTCCGTTCGGTAGAAATGCGTCCATTTAAGAGAGGAAACCATTGGGTCAATTTTTTGAAATTGTACATATTCAGCACTGTAAAATCATGAAGAATATTGAGTAAAAGTTACAAAAAATTACATAAATTTGCTTCAATTTCATTGAATGAAACATTAGCTGAGATTTTAAGACACTGTAACCAAAAAATGCCCTTTTTGCATCCAGCGCTTCAATTTCTTTAGAGGCGCCATTTCAACGTACGTAATTTAAGGGTCGGCAAACGTTGCAGGGAGGAGGATAAGCTGTCCAAAAAAATATGGGGGGGGGTGATGTATAAGTAATCTCAAGAACGCTTTCAGATGGGTCTGTTGCACACATGAAAAATAGTCAGCTGAATAAACTTCTACAAGCAAAATTGGACGAAAGTCATGTGGAGCACATCAGAAATGCCGAGAAAACATTCCTTTGTGCATAGTTTCAGCAGCTCGTATTACAAAAATTTCAAATTTGCTCTGCGCATTGGATCTTTTTCCGCAGACACTGAGGAGACATTCGGCCGGAGAAGAGCTGAAAGAAATCAGTTTCAAATAAACACGTTAACTCGCACACTGCAACAGGTCTTTTTTCTTCTTACGAGTGACTTTAAACGTCTCCGGTCTCACACCATTTGCTTTTGCATTTTTTTCTAGAAAGAAAGAGGAAAAAGATCGCAGAAGGCAATTTCTATTGCTCCTACTGATTTTTTAGACGCCAATCCAATAGTGGTCGGGCGAGCGCCCTCACAGTTAAGAGCGACCAAGACGCGCTGTTACATACATGTCTCGAATAGTCAGAGCGCCTTCAATTTTGAGGTATGCATCACGGGCAACTTCCGAGTTCGAATAGTTGCTTCTAGTACCGGCTGTTTATTGAAGGCGCATTGCTCTCTTCGCCGTTTATGTATGGAACACTTAGATCTTCCGGTTTTATGGAGTTTCTGCGAGACTAGACCGTGGCTCTTTTTAAAGTTATAAAAATTGTGTTTAATTCTAAGAGAGGATTTTTGCTCAGTTTCTTTCTCTCAAAGAAAACTCTCATTTACC